TAAATGTATTGTTATTAAATCAGTAATGTCCCATGTCTTTCATGTAATTCTCACAGTAACACTTTTTAAATGATTGCAGTGAACTTGGAGTGATGACTTGGTTATTGAATTAGGGTGCAATTGGTGATGTGGGCAAGACTGGGCAGGGTAAACTAATGGTAATAATAATAGAAAAGAAAGGGGAGAAGAAGGAGAAGGAGAAACTTTTCTCGGGTGTTTAGTATTTGCCAGGCATAATTTTTAGCTCTTTACTTTTATTGACTCATGTATTTGGATCAAAAGAATGACAGCTTACTAGATCAGAGATGTGCTGAAGCCAAAGTGATCAGAACTGAGACGTTTGGGAGGATGAGTGGAGATGAGCTGTAGTGACAACACTAAGCAGAGGATAAAGGGTGAATCAAGGAACAAAAGGGAAATCAGTAGTAGAGAGCTGAAATCTGAAAAAAAGCTAGCAGGCTCTAGGGATTGGTGTATGGAGTCTAGGGTAAATGTAGTAACTGATTTGAACTTTGAGACATCTGTTTTGGGGTGAATATAACTTGCCTTGACAAAGAAAGACGAGGGGTGAAATGGGGATTGTGTTCAGTGATAGTAAAGCTGGAGGGTTTGCAGGAGAACAGAGGCTGTGATGCGGGGGTGGAGGGAGGTAAGAAGTGTGAATTTGGCAATGAAGGTGGGTGAAAGTGAGTGAGGAAGAGGAGATGCCACCGATGGAAAAAGAGTTCTGAATATGGGACTCTGCTCCGAGGATGCTCAGCAGGAGGTACAAAAGTGCAACTGATCACAGTGGATGGGGCTGGGGAGAGACTGAGCTGTGATTCCTCCTAAGTCTAGGTGGAGTCAAGCCCAGAGTTGGCTGGTGTGTGTTAGAACATGCAGATGATCAGACAGGGAGGAGCCCTATACCCAGAGGTGGGTTTGATTTACCCACTTGATCCCTTGCCATTTGTAAATGAGATACCAGCTTTTTATGTGTATGAAGTAAATGAGCAATAATTAGCAGCAGGTAGCTTTGACTCTTATTTTCTTAGACTGAGTGCATCAGAATTGCCTTGGCAATAACCTGCATTAGCCACAGGAATCTCTATAACTCATGTCCCTCATGCTTTGCTCCTCGATTTGCTTTATTTGATGTGCAGGGAGATTTAGTGGGTCAGAGGAGCAAGCCCCCCAGGAAATCCTATGGAGTTCAGTGCTGACACTGCATTTAATGCTACTATTTAAGCCATTTTACTATGTGTAAAGGCTCATTCATTCACTATAATGTGTACTTTCCAAACCCTTTATGAGGCATTCTCTTGAGATTCCTTATTCTCCTAGGGGTTGATACTAAGCATCTATTTTGGAATGGATCAAAAAATCAATAAATGGAAGGCCATTTACAGTTGTGTCTTCTAGCATTGTAACCTGCTGCATTTAAAGACTTAAATTATTTGGATCATCACTACCTAATATAATCTTTTTTAAAAAATTGCCTCAATGTTTTTGTTGTTATTTTTAAAATATTGACTCTCTGACTGGGAATTCCAACTTAAATGGTCAACATTGTAAGACATGTTTATTATTTGCAAGAAAGCCTTTGCACTTTGCAGAAATTTTCTGAGAATACATTTTACTTCCCTTTTGTGATTGAAATTCTTTGCAAGAAAATCATAACAAATACAAGACTTTCTTATGATTTGCTCCTTAATGACAATAAATATTGCTGAAGTTGTACCAGACAGTTTTGATGAATTGGAGAAAGGTAAAAAAAATGTTGGGGAAAGGTCAAGTAAAAGTTGGAGAAATGTGGAGGAGGGGAAAACTCACATTTTCTAAGAAGATTCTCCTGGCTGCTTTCAGCTTAGAATGAAACAGCTATTGCTTTAACAGTGATTTTTCTGATCATACATTTCATTTCTGACTACCAAAAGATTTCCAGCACACTAGTTAGATGGACCCTCATTGGTCAATGGTGTTTATAACTTCTCAGATGACTTCTGAAATTCCTGCCAGGAATTTTACCCATTGGTGTTGAAAATTATTGGCAACCTGTATTTTAGTGATAAACTTCACTTTTGTGAAGTTCTGCAACTTCTCTTGGAAAGAAAAATATCAGAAGATCTAACTTCGTGGGCCTGTGTCCCTCCATGTGGACCCTCAGTCGGACCTGGTGAAGCTTCCTCCTGTGGACCGGGCATTTCCTCTCTGGCTGGCCCTCAGTCACGGCTCTGCTTGCTCAATTACTCCCTTGGCTCTGTTAAGACTTTGAATTGCATCTTCTGTTTAAACAGTCCTTTGTAGGGGGATGACCCCAAACTCTATTCCTTAACTTCAGTCCCCCATCCCACTTCTCCCCCAATCTGTAGTGTTGTATTTGTGCATTCTGCCCAGAAGTTCCACTGATACCCAAATTATGACATACATGTTGCAAGGTTTTTTCACCATTTTCCTCTTTGTCTTCTCTTCCTAATTTCACTGCCATCCCCTTTGCCTTCTCAAAGTCGAATTGTTACTGGACCTTCCATTTTTGCTTCCATATTTAAAGGCTACTAAGAGTTCCTTGGTCCCTCTTGGCTGTGCTCTCCCTAGTGCACATTCTCTGCTTCTGTCTCCACATTTGCCTACCATCCCTGTACAGGTACAGTTGAATCAGAGAGAAGCTGGCATTAGTTTCCCAGCAGCTTGCCTTATTTCTAGTTTTTGCTCCAGTCTGTTATACAGGCAGGGACAAGAATAGGCTTAAGCAAATTCCATTTTTATTTTGTCACTTTTCTTTTCAAAAATCTGCTATGTTTGCCCATCACCCATTACACCAAATATAACTCAATTTTCTGTTTTGTCCAGGCTTTCCAGGTTGCCTCAACATATCCATTCTTACCAATTAAACTTTTTTTTCTTTTTTAAAACAGAGTCTCACTCTGCCACCCAGGCTAGAGTGCAGTGCATGATTATAACTCACGGTAACCGTGAACTCTCGGCCTCAAGCTATCCTCCTGCCTCAGCCTCCCAAAGCACTGGGGTTACAGGTATGAACCAGCACACCTGGCCTCAACTTTCTGTTTCTTGACTTGAATTTACCCACATCTCTTGCACTCAATCTGTGAGTTCCCTCTTTGACAGGTCTTCACACATCCAAATATGCCCTTCCTTTGCTAGTTCTGACCTCATTCAATACCCAGTCCCAATTCTACCTACTCCTCAATGCTTTCCCTGGCATACTCCACCAGACCTTGATTATCATTTTGCTCTGCATTCCTGTGAACTTGTACACTGGGGATCACAAATATGTAGTAGGTCAGCTTGAATTTAGATTCTGCCATCTATTGGCTAGGCAGCTTGAATTTAGATTCTGCCATCTATTGGCTAGGCAGTCTCAGTACTTACTGAACCTCCTTTGTCTTAATTATGAAAAGGAATTAATAATAATACTGGTGTACTTGGATTGATATGATTACATGTGTTAAGGATGTCAAGGGCCTGGCACTGAGTAATCAATAAGCCAATATCTCAGAGAACATCTCTATCCACACTGCATGTCCACAAATTTGAGCTATATACTCTTTGAAGGAGAGAATCTGGTTTTGCTTATCTTTGGATCCCTATTCATTATAAAGTTCCTAGCACCGATTAAATACAACAAATATTTGTTGAAAAATGTAGAAAGAATATGATCATGAATGGCAGAGATTGGTTATTGCAATAATTCTGATTATTTCACAAATCTCTGCTGTCACACTGTGATCAGAAATGTGTATAGTAGAAACACAGTGTATTTCCCAACTTGTTTATTTGTCTGAAAGTGTGTCCTAGAGTAACTGCAGATTCATGATTACCTTCTGGGGACAATGACAAAAAAGTTGAGAATTTTTCATTGTTCTGTATTCTTTGGGTTTTGTGTGTGTGTGAGTTTTTGTTTTTGTTTTTGTTTGTTTGTTTGCCTTCCATTGCTCTGTAATCTACTTCAAGATACATTATATATTTATCCTAGTTGCATGCAAATAGTATGCGAATGAATACTCATGACATTTATGGTTAGTCAATTTTTCCCCATTATTTTAGAAAATTGGGCGAGGGTGGCCCTTCATTTCTCAAGGTTTCCATTTTGTTAGTTTTCAGTTGGGAGCACAAAAGGCTCAAATATATAATCATCGGTAATTAGTAAGAGTCTTCTTCGAACTGATTTCATTTAAAAATGTTACTGGCACCATCACTACCAGCACCGTCACCATGATTAACATTAAAATTAAATCTTGTTTGGATAAAATTTCCTAAGAACTTGCCATGGTGTTATCTCCCATTTCATGTGCTCACAAACACCCTTTGCTTTGGAAAGGGAAAGTGCCAGAATAAGCAATATTACATTCAGAATGCAAATGAAAGTTTTATAGAAATAGGGTTGTGTTGGAGATGAAATTAACTGTGACACTTCAGGAGTTTTACAGAGAAAGAAGATTAACATGTTAGGTCTTCAGCAGCTGTCTTCCCTGATGCAAATAACGTTAGGCAAAATGAAATCTCCATGCGTCCTAGCTCAGTGGAGGAATGTTTATTGAGTCCATAGAAATTTGAGCAGGGCACGTCTCTAAGGGTTTATGACAGCCTATTTTCTTTTCTCAGTGTGGGAATGAATTGCTCCATTATCATCTAAATTGGAAGTCATGATGATGGTTCTTTTTTGATTCTTTATTTATTTTTGTTTATTTGTTAAGAAACTTGTACAGAAAATGTGTTGATTATCTGGAAGTTGCTATCCTTGCTTAGGCCAGATAATAACCTTGTATTTCTTTAGATATTTATGTATATATACCTAAAAGGGAAATATTTTATATCCTTGGACCAGATCTAACTTAATTTGTTTCTTTGATTCTTTCACATAGGCTAAATAATACAACCTCTTGTTGATCACCCAAAAGTCACATTTTCAAATTGCATTTTCTTTCAAATGATTTTTGCAATGATATACAGAAAAGTTATTTTTATATATGTTCACTTTTTTTTTTTTCTCTTTCTCCAAGGAAACCAACATGTCTGACAAAAGTGACTTAAAAGCTGAGCTAGAGCGCAAAAAGCAGCGCTTAGCACAGATAAGAGAAGAGAAGAAACGGAAGGAAGAGGAGAGGAAAAAGAAAGAGGTAAATCCTGGGTGTTGGGGTGTTGTGGGGGAAAAAGAAAGATCACTTGATTCTGAGGGGCTGGTCAAATTGATAAATAGGACCCCCTAAAAGAATCCTTTTATGATATTGGAATAAAATGATTGACTATGTCCCTATTCCGCATGATAAAGTTGTTACCTTCTGCTATGTACTGGTCAGCCATCACCTAAATGGGGGATAACGTTTGATCCAGAGGCTCCAGAGGCCTCCAAACTCCAGGTTCATCACAGACTCGAACAGAATTCTAAGGGTGGTCTGTGATCTTGTTATTGTTAGAAACTTCTTAACCTTTCTGTGCCTCAGTTTCCTATTTTTAATATGAGAACAATAATACATTTATTTTGTGGGGCTGTACTTAGCAGTACCTAGAATATAGTTAGTACTTAATAAATGTTAGTTTTAAGAAAAGGTTTTTCTTTTTTTTCTGAAAAATCTACCAGCAGGAACATTTTAGCAGAAAATTAGAAAACTATGCCAGTAGATTTCCATTGTTTCCAAAGTGGTGTACGTTTTTTAATGGTAAATAAGCATCTTTGGTTTGGTAAGGGGAAGGCTGTCCTTCTCTTAGTGAGAAGGTAGATAGGATAGTACATACAGTACAAAGAATTATTACATGTTAGATCTGGCTGAAATTTCAGAGACTTTCCATTCAGGCCCCTCTTTGTGCCAACAAAGCAGCAGAGATCCAGAGGTGAAATGTAGCTTTTCTGCTTTCTAGACTTAGAATCTAGGACTCTGTAATCCCAATCCAATGCCTTGTTGTCATGTCACATTTTCTTCCACTATGTGAATCAAACAAATAATTTATTTTTAGTTCCCTAATTTGTTGTGGCAGTGTAGGAATAGCCCACATCTTATACAAAAACCAGATACCAAAGATATTTTTGAATAGTTTTCTAAGAAAAAACTTCGTGTGGTATGATATGCTTTTGTGTATAGAAACCAGAGCTGCTTCCCTATGCAGTTCTTCTGTAAGGAAAAAGAAAACTTATTTTGATGCCTTACAATCTAAATAAGTGTTGTTTCATACTACAAGGCTGAGAGACCAAGGTAATAGATTTACAACAATTATTATTTTCCAACAAAGTAAAAGATAATTGCAGTTGCATTTTAGCCTTCTGGCATCTCTCATCTCTCCATACCATTATGCATTGATTGATGTGATCATTTGTTTGTCCTTGACATCACACATAATGTTTTTTCCCTTTGAGATCTTTGCTGTTACGTATGCAGTCTTTGAGTGAAGTAGAGGTGAGAATTGACAAGGAATGGCTATTCATTTCCATGCAAAGCCAAAAAAAGCATTAAGTTATTATATTTCCTTTCCCTCAAATGTCAACACTTACTGTAGTTTTAAAGCACCTGTTATCCTTTACTAATAACCAGTTTCCTTTTAAACTGACATTCTAATATCCAACTTGAATTTCATAGAATTACCACAAAATGTGATGTGATATGGGAAATTTCGTTCCAAATTATGCTGTCTGCTTCATCTTTTTCATTTTACACATTTTGGGGAAATTACAGGCACACTGGACTGATGGAAGCAGGCTCCCTTTTTGATTCTATAACCAAGCACTTTTGCCTGGTGAGGATTTAGCTGGTTTCACAGCAAGAAGAGCCCTGGCAGGTTGGAGGCTGCAGGTAGTCGAGGGTATGGAACACCTGGACTCTAGACATTCCTGGCTGCTGCCTCATTCTGGATTGACATCATATGAAGTCCTAATTTTCTCATGTCTAAAGTGACATGGTGATTGAAGCTTGTGATAACTGAACTGTGCTCCACAGAGTCAGATGGCAATACAGAGTCCCAGTCTTCCATCCTCAAAGTTTCTGATTTGAGTGATCTGAAGCAGGGCTAGATTTTAGGATCCATTGGACCACATCGTCTTTAACATCTCTCCTGGCTTGAAATCTTCTCCCTTCCCATCCATCTCCCCTCAAAGAGATCTTTCCTTGGTTCTTTCCATGCACTCTCTGCAACTGTGCTGACTTGGTTGGTTCTGAGCAGCTGGGGCTGTAAGACTGAAGACAGTTAACACAGTGATTATGCACAGGGGCCTTTGAGTTGAACATGGCTGGGAAGCCTGGATCTGCCCTTCACAGACTGGCCCTGAATGGGTATCGGTCCTCTCTGAACCTGTTTCCTCTTCTGTAAAATGGAAAAAGGAATGATGTCTTCCTCACAGATTCAAGAGGATTCGAGAAGATCCCAAAGCAGTAAGAGACAGCTGTCATTCTGCTATCAGAGTAGATGAATGGGGCTTCACAGAATGGTCGCATACATTTTTAGGATCTCTGCTGGTGAGCCCATTTTATAAAAATGCCCCATTTTTGGAAGGATCTTAAAATTCAAGGCCCCCAGTTTCATGGGATTGGAGCATTTCGTGGCTGAAAGGAATCTGGAAGTAATCTATTCTGATCCTTTCTCACATAGGGAAGCTGGGCTGCAGAGGTCTAAGCCTTAGAGGCAGTCCCCCTTTATCTCCAATCACATGAAGGAGTCTGGAGATAAAAGGGAGCTACCTCTAAGGCTCATCAAGCCAATTTTCCAGATCAGAAACCTGAAGTCGTCCTTTCACCACCCCCTACCCCAATTTGCAGTGATCATCAGGTCTGCACAGGCATAACAAGATTCTCTTTTCGCCCCCATTTTTTTTCTCCCTAAAATCCACATTCCAGTCAGATGCAGCTGCTTACATGTGCCCTGATGGACTACATTCTTTCTTGACAGAGGGCTTAGGATGTTCTCTTTCCTCTGCTTTCACTGATCTACTTCTTCCTATCATCCTTTGCCTGGCTGTTAAGTTTACCTGGCTGTCCTTCACCTGGCTGTTAACTGCATGTCGTTCCGTTCTCATCTCCTATGTCACTTTCTCCAGAAAGCTGCCTCTGAAACCTTTGTTTCCTCATGACTAGGTTAGTTCTGCATCCTATCATTGACATTATCAAACCATTTAGGACAAGGTGTTATATTTTCCCCTTCACTTGTCTTTTTCTCCTAATAGATTGCAAGCTTTCAAGGTCAGGGCTATATGCTTTTGTTGTTGTTGTTGTTTGTTTTTTAATCATTAAGTCAATGTCTAATATAGGTTTTACCATATGATAGACATTCAAAAAGGAGTTATAGAATGAATGAATGAGTGAATAAATGTGCATATGAACTAGTCAGGGCAGGTTTGTGAGGCACGTCCCAGACATCCTTTCCAAGCATCTGCAAATTTGTTTGGAAACTTCTGATCCTGAATCCATGGAATATCGACTGGCCACTGTCACTGACTCCCAAGTTTAAGATTTTCTAGTTTTGTGTTGTTTATAGAGAATTAGAAATAGATTTAAATAGCCTTGATTTTTATAAACTTTCTTTAGGCTTATATTTTAAATAAAACAAATAAATTTAACATTAAAAAGAAAATAAATGCTCTTTAATACTAAACTGAGTGCCCTTTTTTTGCCATGAATATAAAAACTAGTGTGAATTAGGACCACCCAAGTTGATTATCTCCACAGAATTCAGAAAACTGTGTCCATGTTGTGTAAAATGACCACCCTCTGCTCTTTTGGATGTCAACTGCTTTCTTGGCTGTGATATTATGGATGAAATCTGATTTTAAAATAAATATCGTGGCCACCATTTAAGACACTGGCCCAATTTCATGAAAAATTGGCTTTAATGCAATGAGGTGAGCTCAGTGGGAGCCACCCTGAAGTTTCATTCTGTCCTTGGCCTTTTGCCGAATTGCTGCGAGGTAGAATGGCCAGGAGTTTCCTGGCCCATCCTCACATGTTTCTCCAATAAATGTGGAAATGTGTGTGGAAAAGTGATTGTCAATTCTCAGTTGACAAATTTTTCTTTCTTTGATTATCTTCTCTGGGTCTCAGCTGTGATTACTCTACACAAACAGAAATATCACTTGCTGAGAAAGGCACCTTGAAGGTTTTTAATTACTAATGCTACAAAATCACTGCTTGTTGAATGATTAAAACATAGTAGGATTCTGTAGTAGATACAGATCCTCACTCTGCAACATCTTTTTTCTCATCTTAGTTCTATCTTTGCCTCTGTTGTACACATAAACTTTGGGACTTGCTTCGGTAGTTTAAATGTTAAAATTGCAAAAGAACATGAACTTTGATATCTTCACTGATAAGAGATTAAACTGCCATTTCATAATTTTGGGTTACGCAGAATGTCTGAAATACTCTAGGACTCTTATAAGCCCTTACTGGCCTTCAAATGGTAGTCTTCCCTCTAATGACAGATAGACTTCAAAAATATGAGTGCTTTAGCCCAAAGTTAATAGTAACAGAATTGTTGAGTGCAGAGACATGTGCAAAGATACACTTAGTTTATAATCAGTGTGTAGGTTACCCTCTGGGGGTAAGTCAAAAGTTGCATAAACTCTTTCTGCTTATAGACACTACAATGTAACTAATGCTTCACTGCTTCAAAATGTATTCTACATGCCCAAAGAAAGTAATGTACTTGTTAGCTTACCCAACTTCCCCTGGGGAAGAAGGTATGTCTCATAACGAAATGCTTTTTGACAGGCTTTAAGACAACCTCACTTCTGTAAGCTCACAAAGCTTTGTTGTGAGGTAGTTACACATCAACATGATGTTATCATGTTTCAGATGTGGAGCAAATAATTTATCTTAAGTAATAACTGTATTATGAAAGAGAGAAGAGACTTGGAATGTTTAAATTTCCCCTAGAATCCCACCACATATCTTGTTTACCTGCCTTTTAATTTGTCACTAATCTGTAAAAACACCAACTGGCATAGGATCTGACATTAAGAGGGCGGTATGAAAAACATAATGTGTCTTTAGACAGAATTTGTGAAAGGAATTTCTTGTAAATGATTTGCTGTACTATAATCTCTACATGATAATTTTCTTCTTCCAGTTAGTATATATAATGGAATCCTGTGAGAATTAGAATCAAGTACCAAGACATATCAATATTGATCACATGCCTTAATACAGATTTTAGCCCAGTTTATTTTAAACCACGGCAAACTTGTCTTAGCAATACAAATAGTGTGTTTTACAGTTAAACATTTTCATAAATAGTTTTACTTTTCCGCAAGATCCCAACAATTCCTGGTTTGCACAATCCCAAACATGGGACCTGAATATTACAAACACAGTCACAATAACTGATATCCCAGAAGGGACAAGGAGGTCTAAAAAAACAGTCAGAATTTTTTTTTTTTTATATTATGTCCCCAGCCAGAAATACTTTGCCTTGATGTTTTCTCTTCCAAAACCTGGGAGAGAAACTTTCATCTCGTGTGATAGAAGCAGGAAAAAGCCTTCAACCAAAAGAGAAAGTAGTGGGCCAGTAATTATTAAATGGAGCAATTATGGTGTTTATTCATCCTTTATACATATGATTATATCTATTTAGGGCTTTTGCCTTGTCTTCACTGCCATGCATTTATCATTTTCAGTTTCAGCCAGGAAAAGCATTTAGTTACGTTATTAACTTTTCTTACTGACGTCTACTTCTAGGCTGATATGCAGCAGAAGAAAGAACCTGTTCAGGATGACTCTGATCTGGATCGCAAACGACGAGAGACAGAGGCTTTGCTGCAAAGCATTGGTATCTCACCGGAGCCGCCTCTAGGTACTTAAAAGTGCTTCCTGTTACTATTCCTCAGAATCAACTTGTGTGGGATATACCATGTCCAGTGTTTACTATTCTTTTAAGTCTTTAACTTTTTTTAATTTTTATTTTTAAAGACATTCTGTGGCTTATGGTTCAGGTTGCATGTATTTTTGGAATTGAGGGGGCGGGAAGGAGGTGGGAGGAAAGGTTGTAGAATTGTCAGTAGTTTGCTGCTTATTGACTGATTAGATGGTCAACCTTCTCCACCGTGTTACTAGTAGATTATTTTATACTTGTTAAATGAGTTGCCGCTTGGTAAATATAAGAAATCTTGGAATTTCTTATTAAATTGTTCTTTGTTTTCATTGCTGAATTCCAGCGCCTCTTTGCCAATCTAAATACTATGGATCTGGTTATGAATTTCATAACTACCACAGGCGTAGAGTTAGTCCATGATGAAAATAGAAGGCACAGTGGGAAATTTGAAGGAAAACAAAATGGTGGTGGATTAGCAGCCGATTAACAAGTTTAAATTAATTTGACTTTATTGTATTTTGATTTGATTACTAATTGGCATTTTCACTGCAATGCTCCTCCTCTAATTCATTCATTCCTAGTTGATTGTCTGTGACCTCATTTTATCACTAAAGCTTGGATATTGAATTACTTGTTTTTTTTGTGTTGAAGGTTACTTGTGCATATTTTGTTTATTCTGTCACTTACCTATATATCTCTCAGGTAATAGTTTTATTTTTCTTTTATCCTTTTGTTTTCCATACATTTAAGATTAATCCTAGGGTGTCTATAAAACTGCATTATATCCAGTATAGTTAAAAACCCTTTTAAAAGAATACATAAAAATAAATATAATATTCAGGTCTTTTGTTTAGAATACTTTCTTCTGAAGTTAATTCCATAATTGACTTTTATATTAAAATAAATTATCATTTATTTCCGTAATTACTTAAACTAAGAATAAAAAGTATTCCATGTACAACAAAATGGCAAATGTTTATATCAATGTGAATAATGAAAATAACATATAATAAGCTTAAAAATTATTAAGTATTGCTGGATGTATTTTAATACATACAAAACTAAAACACTATTAATAAGCATTTTATACTCAATCTCAATTTGTAATAGGTAAAATAGTATGTTCAAGAATGCTATAATAAACCCCAATAAGATTAGATTCTTTTGTTTAATTTCTTTATGTTGTGGAAGACGTAACCTAGGGGATATTATATTTGACTGATGGCCCTTCTTTTCTACTTAAGAGCTGAGACACTTTTTTTTCTACTTAGTTGACATCGGATATGAGTTAGACACCTTGCAATCAATTATATTTGTGCCTCAAAATAGCCTTTGAAATTCTGTTGCATTGTGAACCCTGGTTAAACACAATAATAGTATGTCCTAGTCTCCCCTACCCTATGTAAAGCCAGTAATTAAACTTTAAGAACAAAACAGATTAACATCTCTAAACCATGACCAACTTTTGAAGTATCCCTGCATTACTGCCAAGGGACCCTGGCAAGGGCCCCGTTTTCATTTTTCAGTCACCTCTCCGACTTACCCTCTGAACTTACACAGAGGGTAATCAGTGAATTAATTGTGGGACCACATGAAAATTCCTAGCTCCTTGACAGATCTGCCATTGTGTTATAGGATTTGGGCAAAATAGTTGAGCCCTTTACCCTATTAAATAAATAAAAGGAAATTGCACATGATTGAAACCAAATGGGAATCTACACTTATGTACTGACATTTCTTTCTATCCATATGGCTTCTTTGGCATATGTGATATTGAGAACCCATTGAATTGCCTGGCCTGGAGCCATCTTGGCTATTTGGTGCAGCTTCTTTCTGAAGGACCTTGGGCTTGTATCTGAAGGAAGGGGGAAAAAATTGCATTGGCTTTAGCTTTTTTCTTTTGTTATGCTTGCTCTCGGATTTTCAGCTTGTGCCGACCTCGATCTTTGAACTTGTCTCCTGTCTTCAGAGTGGCAGCTTACTTCTGTGCACATGGCAGTGTCTTCTAGAGCTGCTGGAGGCAAGGCAAAACGAGTCCCAAAGACAGTAAACAGTACAATGGAATGCAACTATTAATTAAAAGTAAAAATAAAGCAGCCTGGCATTTTTCTTTGTTTTGAAAGAGACTTTTTAATTACCAGGTTCAACATTTACCCTTTCTCTATCTGTCACTTAGGCTCTCATGGCAAATGCAGCTTTTATTCCACAGAGCACATTTCCCTCGAAATGCAGACATACAACAGATTTTTCTGACTGTCCTTGACCATTTAAAATTATTCAGAATCACTTATTTAATAATCTTTTAAAGTTTTATAGACACCCTGTTTTATTTTTAATAGGTCACATCTATACTAACAAAATAATATGAAGAATCAAAATTATCTGGATGGTTCATGCTAGAGAGATATTTGACTTGAGTTATCTGGATAGCTATTTTGATTCTCCATTTTACTTTGTTAGGGTGGACATGGCCTCAGAATCCCTATGTTAATTCTGTCTAAATCATTTCAAATTTTAATTTCCAAAATACAAAAAATTCACTGGACTTTTTTCCTTTCCTTTTCTTTCCTTTTTTTTTTTTTTTTAATCCCATCTCAATGTCTCCTGGCCATACAACCACTTTAATTTGGGCCCATTTGTTTTGATTTGTCTGACACTGCTCTTCACCAGTGCAGCCACTGCATTTTTTAACATGGGATACCTGTTATTTTCATTATTTAGTCCCAACCCCTATGTCTCCCTCCTCGAAATCAGTGAGCACTCCCAGTGAAGCTGGAAGCCAAGACTCAGGCGATCTGGGGCCATTAACAAGGTAAGAATTGTCCCTTTAAAAGGCCATGATGGGTGCCAATTTAAAAAAAAAAACAGCAACAACAACACAGTTAGAATACTGTGAAATGTGCATGTATCTGTATGTGTACTTGGACATTTTATATTTAAATTTATGGTGACTTGCTATTTTTAGTGGCATAGCAATGATCTTGAACACTAGATATGATCAACATATATCATCCTTCTTTCAGTGGGCTCATTTAGTACCATGTGTCTTGCTTAACAAACACAAACATATCCATTAGCTTAGGCTTAAAAAAGGCATGTATACATATGTAACAAACCTGCACATTGTGCACATGTACCCTAGAACATAAAGTATAATTATAATTTTTAAAAAAAGGCAGGGAGAGCAAAGATAAATTGAATATATATCCAGCTTCTTATTATCCTACTTTGGTTTTGGTTTCCATGAAAGTCTTTGTGAATAGAATACTGAGATGTTCTAATTCTAAATTTAATTTTTTAAGTGTATTATTTGCTTAGTAAAAGTTGACTAATTTGAAAACTCAGTCACCTAAGTATTTTTATTGTATTATTATTGGTAGTAGTAGTATCAGGATTGGCTGCTTCTGTTTAGTGAGTTCATTGCCAAGTTTGTATTGTACTATGTAGATTCACAGATTATGTAACTTCTGAAAGTGGATATAGACATTCTGTAATTTAATCACTGAAGAGGTATCCAAAAGGTAAAGATGTAAAAAGAAGAAAGGAGAAGTTTCATAAATGTAGATGGAGTCATGGTAGCTCTCCAAATCCAGCTGTCTTCGCCAGTGTTCACACATGCCGGGGTCCACAGGCAGGAATTTATGTGAGTACGGCAACTGCACCCAATTCTTAAAGGCCAGATGTCCCCCTCATAGATCAAGCTGGTTGAGCTCACATGGGACGATGGACCCAATTTTTCTGCATTTTCCAATTTTTCCTGAGAAGCTACAGATTCAGACATTCAGGTGATAATCTCCTAAATGTTAAATGTTAATGACTTTTGTTCCAAGTAGTTATGGGCCAGATTTGGCCTGTGGCCTGGCAATTTATGAACTCTAGCTTTGACTCTTAATTTAAAAAAAATCATAAAATACTTTAATCAAGTTTTTAAAGAAAAGAAGAAACAGTCATCCACAGCACTGCTGTTCTAAGAAGTCGTCCTTTTGGCTTGTCTATGTACCTTTCCAGTCCTTGTCTGTGTGCATTTCTTGCCTCCATATGTATTATTGGGGCAAAGATATAAAATTTTGCATTTTTCTCTTTCCACCTAAGGCATTAGCATAAGCATTTTCTTCTGAAAGTGCACTATTTCTATACAGGCATAGTTACTTTGGTAGCTGAAAATCTGGACATGAACATAATCTAGCATTGACCTGAGCTGCAGGGTTATTTGCTTTTGAAACCAATATGTGAGACTGGAATTACCTTGCCTATTTCTGCCTGTTGGTGTCCTTCAGACTTGAATATTTTGTTTTTATAGGCCCTTTGGAGACCAGTGGACACTGCTTTCAATTAAAAAAAAAAAAAGGAGAGGTTTTTGAGGGCACAAAGCTGGTTTATTTTAGCAAATCGCTTTTGTGATTTGGGGCAGCACACGTCTTCTCTCATCTTTTGCTTTGAACACTTCAAAAGGTCTTTGAGGGAGAACAAAGTAATAGCAACACAGTTGTGTAAGATCTAACATTTATTCAAGAGCTGGCACAATATAATCACATTTCTTGGGGGAGGGGGCGTCCATTGGTCCATCATTAAGTTAATGTATTTGACCATTTCTGTATCATGATGGTGCGTGTCATTACTGCTTAGCTTCAAGGGTGCAGTTGGCAGCATTCAATTCTATTACTGACTTCACATTTGAGGAGCCCTTTTGAAAACTTTCTAAAGAAAGCTGACCTATGCTGTTAGTACTCTGGGGACAACAGCAATTATTTCTTCTCAGAGAATTTTATTCTTTATTTCTTTCTCCATCTTAAGTGATTTTTTTTTAAACTTTGTGAATCACTTTGGAAGAGGTGCAGCCTACTCCTACCCAACACAACAGTACCTTCAATTTTTTATAGGAAAGTTCTTGCAAGATTGAGTACCTAGAAGTCAGTAAATAAATCTCTTGCAAAGTGCAGGTTTCATAGAAATGCAAGAAAATTTGCACTGAAACATGATAGCTTTCAGAAAAACTAAGCACAAAGTTTGCTTTAGGAGAACACATTAGGAATGGCTTAGTAAATTCTGCCCTTGTTTTGAACTTAGGAAAATTCCACACAAATTTATGTTTTTTCTTTAATAAAATAAATATGAGGTTAAATTGCAGGAGAATGTTATATTTCAGTTTTTTAAAATTCCACTTTGAATGTCTTTTTATGTAGAAGACACATCTTTGAAATCAATTTATACTAACTTTAACACTTCATAAAACAGGAGACTGGGAAAATAGTTCTGTAATTCTTAAGAATATAACTCTATGCTCATAAATTTGCCTATTTGTGTGGAATTTGAACTCTTCAAAAAATGGAAAATCTTTCAGAAGATAACAAGAATTAAATTAACACATCTGGCCATAGCTAAAGGCACATATAAATTCTCTCATTCATTTGCCAAAATTTCAAACCAAAGCTAAAATTTTCTTTAGAAAGCCAAAATTAGCAGACATTTCTTATAATCCTTGTAACTAGTTAATCTGCAAATTGGCATACTCAATGTACTTTATTATAGAGAAGAAGTTAAAATAGTGCTTTTAAAAAAGTATAACAAAAATCCCTCTTACTGATTTTTTTTTTTTTTTTAATTTTAAAGAGACCATCTTGCTCCATTGCCCAGGTTGGAGTACAGTGGTGCAATTATAGCTCACTGTAACCTCAAACTCCTGGGCTCAAGAAATCCTCCTGCCTCAGCCTCCTGAGTAGCTGGGACTACAGCCATGCACCACCATGCACAGCTAATTTTTATTTTTACTTTTTGTAGAGATGGAGTCTCGCTATGTTGCCCAGGCTGGTCTGGAATTCCTGGCCTTAAGCAATCCTTTTTGCTTTGGCCTCCCAAAGTGCTGGGATTAGAGGCGAGAGCCACTGCACTCAGCCACCTCTTACTGATTTTTAAGAGCACTTGAGAAAATTTTAAAAAATGGGTAGAGAGTAGAAATATATGTTTTCAGTTATGCTAATGATTTAATTTTAAAATTTCACTTAAAGTGTCACAATTTGTTTTGCAATTTATGCTTCCATCGTTATATCCCATTTCTCATTTACAACTTATATTTGTGGTTTTATCTTCTATCTCCTGATCAGTTTTGGTAGAATCAATTAATCATTGCTAGTTAATTATATTGGCAAGCAACAAGCTCTTGGATTTTAAAAGCTTGTAGAAAAGGTTAGTTTGAAGGGTTAGTTTTACTTATAAACATAAATGAAAAAAATCTTTGATATACTGTAAGCAACTGGAATCCAACATATTAAGAGGATACTATGCTATGGTTAATTAGTATTGTTTCAAAAATGCAAGGTTATTTTAGTATAGGAAAATGTCTTACTATATAATTTAGCATACAAAAAGGTCAAAGAAGGAAAAATAATCATTGCAACATGTACTTAAATTATACTTAAGACATTTAAACACTTATTCCTGTATTTTAAAATGTAGTAAACTAGTAATACAAAATATTTTCTCAATACGGTAAAGAATATTTATCTGAAACAGCTTACGCTTTTTATACATAAGAGTGAAGCATTAGCACTTTATAGCCCTGAAAAATGGCTTTTGTTTAGTTGAACATGTCACTCATCCTCAGAAAGTGGTGAATTCCTTGAAAGTAGGAACTAAGTGATACCCCTGTAGTAGGTATTTGATAAATGTTTGTTGAGTGAGGTGTGGTAGCTCAGAACTGTAATACCAGCTACTTGGGAGTCTGAGGCAGGAGGATTGCTTGAGGCTAGGAGTTCAAGAAAAGCCTGGGCAACATAGCATCCAAGATTTGAAAAAAAAGTTTGTCAGCCGGGCGTGGTGATTCACACCTGTAATCCCAGCACTTTGGGAGGTTGAGGCAGGCGGATCATGAGGTCAGGAGATGGAGACCATCCTGGCTAACATGGTGAAACCCCATCTCTACTAAAAATACAAAAAATTAGCCAGGCGTGGTGGTGGATGCCTGTAGTCCCAGCTACTTGGGAGGCTGAGGCAGGACAATGGCATGAACCCAGGAGGTGGAGCTTGCCGTGAGCCAAGATCGTGCCACTGCACTCCAGCCTCAGCGACAGAGCAACACTCTGTCTCAAAAAAAAATAAATAAATAAATAAATTCTGCTTTTTACCGATGAGGACACTGAGATGCGCAGAGAGAATAAGTAATTTTCTCAAGTTCATACAGAGTGTTGTTTTGCTACAGTGCTAGGTTTTTACCTAGGCAGGTTGATTCAAGTTTCCGCAACGTATACCTCTATGCTACATAATCTCTAACAGTAGTTGATATGAGTGATACACAACCTACTGCATAAGGTTATTGTGAGGATTATACAAAGTAATACTCTATAAAGTACTCAGAAAGGAGGCTGGTGTATACGAACTATATGTGAGTTTTAGCAATTATTATAATTTTTTCACATTTTAATTTAGCCATTTTTCTGATGGCGAAAAATCTTTTTAGATCCTCTCGTAGAACATGTTGGTATAATTTTCAATTTTAGTAAGCATTGCCTGTATCTTTATCCAAAGTAATTATATAAAATTATTAAACATGACAAGGCAAAGGACAGATTGCAATCTTTGCCCCTATAGACCACATTCTGGGTTGCCCACTCCTTACTCACTAACCTTCAGATAACAACCAGAGTGAATTGATCTAAGTGAAAATCATTCCGCCAACATTTATTCTTCTCATTCACATGGATGGCTTACAGGGGACTTTGCACTAGGAATTTTCTCATGTTTAGTTGTAATTCCTTAGGGTTCTCAATGACAGAGCTGAACTAGAAGGTGTACTGGCCTGCAAAAATCTAGGAAAGT